ACGGTTTCCAATTCGGATTTCCTATTCATTCGACGACGAAGATGGAAGAAGGTATCATTTTCTCAATGATTCGCCATTTTTCAACGACATTTCGTTGTTGTAAATGAATCCTTCGATTTTTCATTTTCTCCTCGTCCAACGTCCGCAACGCGCTCTGCAACAGAGTTTGTTCGTTGAAAGAATCTTGAAAGAGAAGAAGAAGAAGAAGAAGAAGGAAGAAAAAACGTTCCCCCTTTTAAACGAAAGCTAATTCCTCGTTTAAAGCGGACACAAGAAAGCCGTCAGAGATCGGGACACGTCTGGCGAATCGATCAAACTGGAAGCTCGACAAGCGGGGTGCCGCCCTCATTTTCCCTCTCTCGCTCACACCCGCTTCCGCTCCTCTTCTCCATCCTTCACCGATCCCTAATTTCTTGCGTGGGGCGACACTCGAGAAAGCATAAACACGTGTTCCGCGTGACGTGTCCGCGCCGACGACCACGGCATCCGTTTCCAACGGCAGCAGTTTCACAGATCGTGAACGTAAACTTCTCATGCGCTCCATTTCAGACGTAGACACGCGTACACGCGGGGGGAACGACGATGGATTTATAGCGAACCGTCTTCTTCTTTTTCTTTTTTTTTTTTTTGTTAGAAAATTTTTTTCCAAAGACTAAGGATCACTTACTGTTTGGTTGGGCAGGATGTTGGGCTAAATTTACACGGGAGAATATTCTTTTTACATACTGACAAGATGATCTCGAGCACACGAAACGTGTTTGGAGAGATTGAATTGGAGGAGCTTGCGTTAATTCTTGACTGTTTGGTAGTGGTAATTGAATACAAGTAGATTAGAATGCGGGATGATTTTTAAGAAATGAATAATCAAAAATTAATTCTCGCGCACATTTGTATCTGTAAAATAATATTGTTTTTCTTTGTCCCGTATCATATTCTCTTGCATTTGTTCCAGAAGTTATATAAAACTGTGACTCTCTAAATATACCATTTTATTAAAACTTTCAATTCCTTCTTATATTTGATTTTAGACTTTAGACCATCGCCCTTCCTTTTTCCATCCTATCTGAAAGATACTCTTCAGTTATTCCGAGCGATTGTAAAAAATCGCGCGGAGATATTTTTATCGTTGAATATATGAGGGTCGCGCCGCGAAGATACAAGGCTGACACTGTCGTTCCATTTACAGCTCGTCTTCAACACGGTATAATCAGTCGACGATAACTTTTCGTATGAGCTATTAATCTATCCACGATTGCCCGCTTTCCACGTTTTATTGCCCCGTTTCTCGGGGAAACGGAACTCTGTATTTTTCTAATACGGTTCAGATAACAGAAGGAACACGTACCGCATCCACTTGTTATCGCTGTTGCTTAAAAGGTAATTTATCGTTACCTCGGTCTCGTCGGCTCTGTTTACGAGAAAACTGGAAATACGAGGTCGCCGTTAAACATTTATACACATCTGCCAGTGGAAACGATTCGCGATGTCGATATCCTCTCACTAATCGATTCTGTTAAATACCAAACGACCAGATCCCTATTGATCTTATATCGAATTTCTCTTATCTCACTAAGTATTTTTATATATGTGATAATAATTTATTTTTTGTATTTCCTTGAATTAAATTCCTTGTCTAGTATTTTAAATTATTTTGAAAATCCTTTTTCTTTTTTTTTTTATTGGATATATATATCTATATTTATATTTTTCTTCGTTACATTTTTTATTACGTTTTATCTTTCTCATTTTCTTCTTGACTTCTTTATCAGGAAAAATAAATAAATCTACTTGAGATAATCCATAAAAAATACTTTCCAAAGAGCTGAAAGTAAGTTGAAAATTAATCTTACATGAAAATTAAAAGATGCATCTGCAGCTTGAAAGATTTTGAACGAAAGATTGATATCGAGGTTTTAATATTGTAATTTTAAGCAATAAAAATTTCTTCTCGCTTTAGTTTATTATACTTCGATTTTCGTCAACATTCTCCACAATATAGCGTGAAAGGATGAGGCTGGTGATCTTGTTTTCATAGTTGCAGTGACGCGCGTGTTTCTTTTGAACACCCGCGTTTCAAACTGCGTGCCGACATTTTAACATTTATCGTTCATCACCGGCGAATTTACACGAATGGGACGAAATAAATTCGAGCTACGTTTTGCGAATCTTCCAGCCATCAACTCCACGAGTAACGATATTTTCTTGTTAATTCCAGAGTTTAAATTCTAAAAATAACAAGGTCATTTTCTTCTTTTTCGTTTAATTTAATTTAATTTAACTGAATTCCTGAATCCTTTACAGGTTATTTTCAAATTTTATCGAAAAAAAGTATCGATGACTCCGATTATATGAAAACGTGTTCTTCTTGCGATCTTGATTCGTTCGTGTAAGATAATATTGGAAACATTTTTAAGGAACAAGGATCCTTGTATAGGTGTTCAGAAAACAGTTCAGAAACGGTGTTTGTTGCATGAATTTTCTACGAAGCTAATAAAAGCACGTTAAAAGCGTTTAAACACTGGCTAAGTTAATTTACCTCGTTTCTTCACGAAACTCTTGTTTTCTCGAAGAATACAATTACACAATTTCACCTTTATATAGTGGAAAACGGGTACACAGTGTCAATAGCAACGAGTGTAACAGAGGCCTTTGATGTCTTACCGATGCAAAGTTTTAAAGGTCGAAGTGAGCGGATACCAACCGACCGCAATACAGTGGTTGAAACAAACGCGCGGCTGCTTTACCTGTCTGCTTTGTGCTTCCATGAATGCGTGCCACGCTTGGCATTAGTTGGCTACTCGTTATAACTAATGCAGAAATACTCTTCTAACCGAATACCAATTACATATGTACGTGTAATAATAATGTTACTTGGCGATCGTTTGGCATCCTATTCTCTCCCACACTTATTCGAATCTCTGTAAATAATCGTGGAACAGGATTTATTAATTAAAGAAGATGAAAATCGCTGCAATAATTAAGAATTCCATTGTACGTGCTTAGACCGTTAAATTGCCTTTGTTCAAGTGGCGAGACGAATTACGAATATCTTCATTTCTTCTTCTTCTTCTTCTTCTTCTTTTTCTTCCGAACGAAATTATAAAATATTAAAGATAGTAATTAATCCATCTGGAGTGTTTAAAATATTCCAAAGATTAAAATTATTTTCATTGTTTCCTCGGTCAAACAAATATAAGATAACAAGATCTCCATTAATCCTGCAACTCGAGGAAAATAAAATTACCGAAAGAAATATTAGCTATGTACAAAAAAATGATTACATCCACTCACGTTTCTCTCGTTTTAAAAATAAACGAACGGCGAAAGCAATCGTTCATCACGAAAGGAGTTCGCAAGATGGAATTCAACAAACAACAAAGATGCTGGCTGACGTAAATCCCATACATCAGGCGTGGAGTTTCATTTATTCGATGCTTCCGCGTAATACGATTCCCGAGTCTGATCCTCGGCCTGGGATCGGGGTGTTATTTGCCCGATACAGGAAAAGGGAGGTAAATTTGATGATTTCATTAGTCCACGTTCCGTAACTTGATCATTGGCTGTTGTTGGCGCTGATGGCGCGTCTGGTGGTGGCCGGAAGTGGAAGGCCTCCGCTTCTTATCTCGCCCGCATTAATCACGTCCCCACAGCCTATCAACCGGTTGGAATTCTTTTCCACGCTGGAGATACCTGTCGGCACGTCAGCCCGCGGAGGGATATAAACGCACGTATCCTTGATACCGGCTAGGCATTTCCGTGTAATTGAATGGATTAAGAACGCCCCGTAATCTACCTGCCTCGAGGTTGGAATTGGATACGTGGAAGGTATGCAGAGAACCTATTCGCTGGATTCTCGTGCGAGGCCTGGCGTGTAAGTACATAACATACTGTTCATTGATATTTTAATTTACCATTTTGTCGCCGATGAAAGGAACAGATAAGAAACCAGCGATGAATATTTGAAAAAAAAAAAGTATACATCGGATGTAAAAATAACCGAGGTATGCTCGGTTGAATAGAGTTTATTATCATTTCTGTGCTTTACAACTTGTGCACCATTCAATGGTGCATTGAACTTCTTACGTCTTTCGATTTCATACGTTCGAACAATGTGAATTCCCGTGTTTGACGTATTGTTAAACTCGTTAAAATTTAACGTCCCTTCCAAGATCTTTAAAAATTTTCCCCCCGTTCAACAATCATGGAAATTTCTTACAAATACTCGCATCTAATCCCCTTTTCCTATTCACAATTCTATTTTCCTATATTTTATATTTATTAATTCTGCTCAAAATAATTACAATCTACCTTCGCTTCTATAATCGCTACCACTTCTATTTCAATTCATTCGTCTCCACTCGATTTCACAGATTATAAATTCACTCATTACATTTCCTTGCATTTCGAAACCAATCGATCGTCGAGCTTTCGTTCCCCGCCACGACATTCAATTAATTAGGTGCAAACTTGCGGATTCGATGCCAGCTACGTAAATAAGCGCAAAGCCGCTTGTGTCGCGTTCGTTAGTAGAGGTAATGCTAATAATAAGCGAAATGAATAAGTTGTTCGAAACAAGGGCGGGGGAGGAGGAGGAGGAGGAGGAGGAGGAGAAAGAGGAGGAGAGGCCTCCGTATCGATTCGCCGAAACGAAGCAACTTCTGCCGAGAGTTCGGAATTATTATCTGCTTGCCACGCGTTACACAGTGGCTCCGCTCGTTAACCGATGTTTACATCGAAGCGAGTTCGAGAGAGCGAAGTCGAGAGAGCGTTACGTCGGGGTTATTAAAGCGTTTTCGACTGTGTGGAGGAGGTTGGGGATGAAGGGGTGGCGGGGAATTAACGTGCGACACGTACGATTTTGAATACATTAACGTGCAAAACATCGACGTTGGCCGACTGCTGAAATATTCGCGCAGCCATTCAGGCGCTTCAATTATGCCAGACACGTTTCAGTCTTTAGGAGAGAGAGAAGTCCTTAAACGGCGGTGTGACAGTGGAACCTCTCTCTCTTTCTCTTGCTTTCTCTCTCTCCTCTTTCGTGGGGGAAGTGCATGAATAGAGTACGGCATTGAAATTACGACCGGTAATTTCTAACTCAAATAGTTGAAGGATTTAACCATGGTTAGCGACCATGGTGTTTGCCGGGTAATGGAATTTCCTAATGATAATTAAATATCGGTCAGGATCTTTTCATCTCGATCCGAAGATTATCCAATTGACACTTCTTGTTCGAATATGCAATTTTTCTATGATATTTTCTATGATTTGTAATCCGTAAGGAAAAGCAACGTTCTTCTCGATGTAAAGACTGTTCACGTCGATTTTTACAGTATCGTCTAGAATATTATAATTTCTAGACTTTCTTCTTTCTATCGAGAGATATATTTCATCATACATTTGGCGTTAAATCTTTCGTATTGATTTACATCTTCTATTCCCTTAAACGAAATCGAATCTCGAATCGAAGGTTAACGCGCTTGACTCGGCCACAAGCAAATACTTTTCTCCACTCATCGATCCCGTGTACACCCACCTCCAAACAGATCGTGCGCGATAATACCAGGTTTGAAATCACCTCTCTCCCCTCTCAAAAGTTTTGCGAAGCTCGGACAAGCGCTTAATTAAGCGAATAACATATATCATGTTAACGCCTAACGCTCAACCCAAGTTGTCCTCCCCCCCCCCCCCTCGACATCTCGTTTCGAAGTGGAGGAACCAAGCCAACAAGGTCCCCTTGTAACGGGCACACCTACACATCGTTCGTGCGTAGAGAGGAGATACCTGGTGCCTGAGCTGCTTTTCACCGGCTTTCTCATATGTGAGCCACAGAACCAGAGGCTCTTCCTCCGGTTCAAAGATGCTCCCAACCCATTCTCCATTCTCCTCTACCGACATCGCACACCTTAACGTGTACTTACATCGCTGCACATTTGCCGGCTAACTAATAGACGGCCCTCCTCCTTCTCTCCCTTCTCCTTTGCTCCCTCATCCGTTCGTGCACCACCTCCTACACACGGCTACCGAACGCGCATCCCGTAACGAAGATATCCTGGAATTACATAGCTCCGCTTGTGTACCCGCACCCTCGGGCAGTCAGCGACCGAGATATCGTGCAGAAGAGATCGAACAGAGCCATGCGGCCCGTGATGATACGTGTGCGATTGTCGTGGCTTCTCTTTGCAATTTGGAGATTTGAAAATTTTTATCCCGAATCGTTAAAGAAATGAAAGGGAATTTTGAAAAGTTTTTTTTTTTTTTAGATTCGATTATCCAATTTGAATTCGAGAGATTATTGTTTCTTAAGTTCTCGCCAAGTCTCGAACTTGTTCGATCAAGCTTAGGTTCCATTAGTCACGCGGCTAATTACACCGCACGTTTTCCGCTCAAGATTATCGAACCAGAAGCGAGACATGTCCTAACTAACTCGACGTTAAACCATCCTTCGAGACCATCGGGTCACCCGGTATATATATATATATATATATATAACGTACGAGTATAGAACACTTATGCCTTAATTAAAAAGGAGAGAAGGATGGAATTCAATTAGCGTCACACTTCGCATCGTCTTAAGGAGCTGCTTGCTCTCTTTGCTCCACGCTGGACTACGAGATGAAAATTCAACGGAGGGTAATGGAGAACTCTGGTGCTACAAATCGCACCAAAAATAATTCTAGTTTCCCAAGGAGGAAAATATGCTAACGATCTGTAAAGAGGAACTGAGGGTTGCAACTGGAGGGAAGGGGTCTTCTTCTTTGCTCCCTTCAACGATTACGTTCGGCCATGCAACGATTTAAAATGTACAAGCCGGTGTTGCTTTCACGTGAAAATGTAAATAAAATTGACTGGGAGATTAAGGAATGATAAATGGGATAATGATGGAGATATCGCAAATAGATTTGTACACTGATCCAGACAATTCTTTCGTAGATAAATTCGTCGAGGAAAGAAAAGTATTTTGAACCCACTTTAAAATGGGTTGAAGACAGTTTAAATAGACAAATAGGAAGAATAATGAGAGTAAAATTGAATAGGACTGTTAAACTGTTGGAAGAATAGATTAAAAATTTGATGAGTTGATCAATAGAAATTCTCCGGACAAGAATTTCGAGAAAAGAAGTACATTTGAAAAGATTAGATTAAAAAGATAATTCGAGGAGACAAATGGTGGAAAAATAAAGAAAATAGAATCGAACGAATTAAATATTGATGAATTGAATGGATAGGTTCAAATCTTGATGAATATTTACTTATTTCACTAAAAATTCTCCATTTTAACTATATTTTCTTCGCTCCAATATCTTCCTTTAATTTTAATATTATTCCATTCTAGAAGTTGAATAAAATATATCTTTTTGATTCTTTAATTCTCTTTCGATTACTATATTTATCGATTCGATTCATATAAAAATACTTATAGATAGATTTTCAAAATTTACAACAATTTATTTCGAAGCTCGAAACTCTTCTTCGCTTTCTCTTTTGCGCTTGATTACGAATTTGACTTAAACTTACAAACACATATTGAACTCGATCTCGTTATCAGATTCGTCTTACCTATCTCTCTCTTTGAGTGACCCCGATCGTTTAATCGCGAGGAATGAGGGACTGGAGGGAGGCTGTTGCAGTACGCAAACGTGCACGCGAGAGAAAACAATTAAAGGCTGTGCGAAAATGAAATTATAACCGATATATACAGGAAAGCATTTCTTCCAAAGATGGTTTCTCCGTGAAACCATGTTCTCTATCCTTCGTTCTTTTTCCATTTTTTTCCCTTTTTTTTATCCCCCTCCATTAACGAACTCCATCCCAGGACAAAAATAATTTCAACACAGACTGTCGTTGACAGTTTTTGTTCGTTAAGAACCGGATTTGTAAGCATTCGTTTTCCACCAAACTCGATTTTCTTTGCGCGAGAAACCAACGTGGAAAAAAAAAAAGAAATGAAAGGAGGGAAGGGAGAAACGCGGAGGAAGGGAAGGAAAAGAGAGCAGCCGATGGGATGTTCGCGGAGGATTTCAGAGCGGTGGAATTACTTCCATTTACAGCGGCCCCGATAACGAGTTATTGGATTTCGAAAGATTGAAATTGTTATCTGACATTCCTAAAGACCCACATTACAATATTTTCTCGAATACCTGACGCCCCGAGCTGCTATTCCTATTCCGTTGCCGCTCAACAAATAACCCGCTATATAATGTCATTATCTACTAACTGTAAGCGTTTTCAAACGATCTACTAATATGGAAATGATGAATGGAGTTACGGAGAATTAGATCGGTGCACGCGAAACGTCATTCGGTCAAATAAGGTTTAAACTATCGCAGCATTGTATTCGGTATATATACCGAAAATATTGGATTTTCTTCTATTCTCTCGTTTTAAATAATTAATAATAAATCGTGATATCATAATTCGATATCGAATTGCCTTCTTCTTTTTTAATTAATACATAATTTTTTAAAAGTATATCAAGTTTGCAATGTGATTATTTTTAACAGCAATCAAGATTAATCTCGTTGAAATATTATTACATGTGTTTTTTTTTTTAAGTAATTATACACTCGTTCATTTTATAAGGATTATCAAATGCTAAATAATTCCAAAAATTTGCTTCGATCAAACATACTCGATACGATTCATCGATTAAAAAGTTATCCAAGTAAATTCACACGTATAAGTATTGCTATATGTTTATATTTGATATGCTCTGTGAAATACTGAAATGTATGCATAAATTATCAACGTTATATGCTTACAAGTGCAGTCATTGTGTATGTTGCATCAGCGAAACAAATTCGCTTTTATGTTCAACGAAATAGCAGCTAATTTATATAAACTACCAACGATGCGAAATACAAGATCGAGCTCAAGGGATCGATTTCGTAGCGCTAGGATTTGCCCATTTTCCACGATAAAATCCGCCAAGTGATACGCATAACATAATTCTAAATGGAAAAAAAAAAAAAAATGAAATAAACTCGAATAACTTTTTCAGAAAAGGAAACAACTAACAATGGAATCAATTATCACTGTAACCAAATAAAAAAGAGAGATCTAGATGCAACATGCCACTGTTGCATAAATATTAATCGAGTTAGCAAAAAAATAGAATGGATCATTTCTCTCGCGAGCAAACAAACGAGAAATTATTTTTCTTTTAATTGCTCGCAATATGCGCATGCAAATTGTTTATTATCGTAACCGTGTTTTGATACAATTAGATAACCAAACAATACCTATTATTGAATAATTGTATTCTCGCAATTTTTCATTACTAAAAATACTTTCTTTCTTCCTGTTTCCATCGTGTTTCTCAAACGGCGGATCTCTCTCGATCGCATAATACCTATATATTCCTAGATATTCATTTAACTCGGTGCAACAAAGTATCTTCCTACACATTTTCCTACACACGCTGCACCGAATTCCATCTCTCTCCGCCCTTCCATCCAATCACATTGAACTCAATTACGCGAAACGCAGCGGATCTCCCTCGCGTGCACCCCGAATCTTACCATACAGACGCGATACGCATTAAACAATCGGATTCGTAGCAGGGTGCGGCGATAAATTGGCACGGAGAAAATGAGAAAAAGGAATTCCCCCAGCCACCAGCACGGTATTCCCGTTGTACTCGAATCCGGCTGAACTTGTTGGTGGTCTAGCATCGTGATTAAGACCTGGGCCACCGATAGCAGTAACTTGTTCGATTTGCGACCAAGTTTGTCGCGCAGCGCGAGTATATTCCCTCGATTCATTGCGGATCTAAATTACCAGGAACACGGGGTATACGCGTTTCCTTGCGCGGATCTCCTCGCTGCTCGATCGTGTTCTACCCACACGATTCTCTGTTTCCCGCCACTCCCACGCATTCTAATGGAACTCGAAACGATCAACGAACTTCGAAATCCATGTGTGAATTTTCCATGATTTTTAATAATATTTTTATAGTAATTTTAATTATCCTTTTAGGACTTGATTGCTATTTATCACGTGTCGAAATGTAAACGTTTGAACGATCGCAATTTCAATTTGTTCAAAAGATCGTTTTATATTTCGAACAATTGTTTTTTCTTATTTCATGGAATATTCAAGCTCTCGCCGAACAAATATTAAATGCGTGAAATGTTAAAGTATAAAAGAGGATACGTTTGGAGTTAAAAGATCCTTGCCATTCCTAGGCTGATTTAATTGTGGACCACCGAGGAAGAGGAGTGGCACTGAAGGGCCACTCTGAAGCAGCGATGGTCTGTGTTAGAACTCTAGTTTATTGTCGAGGCGGGATGTCCATTAAGTTTGTGACAGAATCCAGGATCCTCTTCGGATGATGTCTTTTCGAGTGTCGCGTGGATAAATCTGTGGAACCGTAAATTTTCTGGAAGCAATTCAACAGCCATAATTCAAGGGCGTGTTGTTTCTTTCGTATACAATTTCTTCCTATACGGTGGAAATATTATTTTTTAAGGGATGTCGTTCGAGAGAGATCATAAGATACAATTTGACGAAAGGATTTAAAGAATCTCATCGTGAAGTCGTACCATAAGAAAGGATTAACCTGGAAATAACAAGAATATACCAGACCG